AGCGGTCATTGCTGGGATGAATGACTCGCAACTGACCAAGATAGTGGCTCATCCCTATGAGCACTTCAGCAATTTGGATGTGGCCGAGTTCTACCTCAACGCCTACATTGCTGACAACACCATCCACTCACAGGTTCAGGGAAAGGACCTGAAAATCGATGCTGACTCTCTCAACGAGTTCTTCGGCATCAAACTCGACTCTCAGGACATTGACACCCCCACACTCATCGACTTGGAGTCAGTCGAAATCTCTGTGGAGACATTTGTGGACACCTACTGCCGGGATGATGCAACCGGAGTAGATAAACTCTACATGAAGAAGAACCAGCTCAAGAAGGACTTTGAAAGACTGATGAGCATCATGCACAGATGCTTATGGTGCAAGACTGGGTCAACTGACCAGATGAACAATGCCAATTCCAAGGCCATCTTTGCTGTTCATCGGGGAATGAACATCAACTGGGGAAAGGTGCTTTTCCAGTCCATCTCTGAGTCCATTGCTAAGAAGGACAAAAAGACAGGGATGTTCTTCACCAAGATGGGTCATGGACTTCTGATATCTAGGCTCATATCCAATGTCAACATAGCGCTCAGAGAAGCTATTGAAGTCAACCACAACAAAACCATCTTTCTTACTGCATCCCCCAAACTACATGTGGCTGTTGCAGCAAAATTGAAGAAAACCAGCAAGCTTGAACAATTAAGGGAGAAACCAGTCACTACAGCTGCGGTTGATGATGAACAACCCAAAGAGAAAAAGAAGAAGGTTCAGAAGAAGCCTGACACCAACCCAGAGAAACCTGCATCAGAGGTTGACACATCAGAAAAGGATGCACCAGCAGAGGCTCTTGTCAAGAAGCTGAGACAGAAGAGGAGAAGAAAAGCAATCATTCAGAGTGACTCTGATGGCTCCAAGTCTCCTATCAGAATCCAGAAGAAGAAGAAGAAGACCAACTCTCCCCCAAGGGAATCAGAGGTTCAGGGGGAACCAGCACCAGAGTTGGACACTGCACTGGTGATCTCTGATGCTCAGGGGGAACCTGAATCAGAGATCCAACCTTTATCTGCACCAGATCTGCAAGTCACCATCTCTCCACAAGAGCTCCCAATTTCAACTGGAGTTCCTGAGGTAGATCCCATCTCTGCCCTTGAGAAGCAATTTCAAAGGGTGCTAACATGGAGGAAGTGGAGAATGGGACCTCTGCAGCAAATACTTGCCCAAGCTGCTGCCTTTGAATCAGAAGAAGAAGAAGTCCTCAAATGGGCAGGTACAGATGATGTATCACTATGCTTTGATCTTCAATTTTTACATTCTGTCTTGGAGAAGAAGAGGGAAAGCCTCAAGGGAAAAGAGAAGATGACTGCTCCACCATCAGAAGAGCATGTCAAGCCTCTATCAGAGAGTGAGATTCCAGTCTTTGAAGAATGGCTGGTGGAGATGAAAAGGAGGGAATCTCTGAGAAAATATCCCTACCTTCCTCACTTTCACGGTGAATCCTCAATTGCCAACAATATGCCACTGGCAATGCAGCAACTGATCAGAGAGTGGAGGAACTCTCAGACTGAGGAGACCTCTGTTGAGGTAATACCTAACTCTCCCTCTCCACCTATTCATATTACACCAGAACCCCATACCTCACCTCCAAAATCTCCCTCACCAAAACCAACCTCAACTCCTTCTCCTCTACAAGCTCAGAAATCACCCTCTCCATCACCTAAGAAACCATCTTCACCTACTACCTCACCCAAGCAATCCCCCACACCCAAACCATCCTCACCTTGTCATCAGATTACCCCCATCAGAAGCCGCTCACCCTCACCTTCTCCTCCTTCACAACATCAGAAAACCCCTACCCCTCAAACTTCACCTCATCAGAGCTCCCACCATCAGAAATCCAAATCTCCCTCTCCTCAGCAGAAGCCTACACCTAAATGTCCTTCCCCTCAACACTCTGCAGCCTCTACTCAGAAAAGAGAACCAGTTGTAAGGATTCCTTCCTCAACTGAAGATAATGATGGGTTCCTTACATCCTCTCTGGCTTGTGACCTCCAATCTAACAAAAGGAAGACACCTCCTCCTCCTCTATCTCCAGATCAACCTCAACCTCAAATCAATGAGATACCTCAGCCAGAACCACCCAAAGCTGTCCTCATTCCCTTCCAGGAATTTGTGGAATCAGCTGAGGACTTTGGCGATCAGATGGTGGCTGGACTGAACAAGTTACTTGTACTAAATCAGAAGCATGATGCTCATCTTGATTTGGTACAGTACAACATTGAGTCAGGACTTGAGAAGATCTCCAACGCCCTCTCACAACTGTCGACTACATTCTTTAGCTACATAAAGACATCCAATGAGAAGGTTGATAACATAGCTTCAGAGGTTGCCAGTCTTCACACAGTCCTGTTCTCACAATCTCAGACTCTGACAGCACAGGACAAGGCCATTCAAGAATTATCTGATGCTGTTGACACTCTACAATGGTCTCATGACAAGAATGCAGAACATCTGACTGATGTGGAAGACATCTGCAAGACCTTGAAAGAATTTGACATCAAACTGATAAACAGTGGAAAGGACAGAGATCACAAGTTGACTCTCCTTGAAGCTACTACCAAGGATATTCAATCGGCTGTGGGCAAGCAAAAGGAGCTGATAGAAGGGCTGGCCTCTGTGACCCAAACTCTGCCTGGTACCCTTGAAGCTATAAAAGAGAGCAATGCTACAGAATTCTCGAAAATTGGACTCCTACTTGGTGATCTTGTTGATGCCAAAAAGGGGGAAGATAGCAGAGAACCTGTCCCACCTCCCAGAGAAGCAGAAGGCCCAAGCTCACACGAAAAAGAAATCTCCATCTTTCACACTGAACCAATGGCTGAACAGTGGGTTGTCTAAACCAGACAAAGTCCAATTTGCTGAGATGAAAAAGCATATGACTCCCCTGCAGTGTGAGAATCTGATCCAAGATGAGAATGGCATCATCACCATTGCTCATGGAGGATCCATAGAAGAAGCTGAGGAATGGTGGAGGTTGAGGATCCTACCTGGAAAGGATGAGAAGGATGCAATAAGGTACTATCTTGATTGCCAGCTTACTCCACTCTGGAAGAGATACATGACTCCCAGGAACCTTGCCTCCATCAGAGCAAGAGTAAATGCTGAACTTCAAGAAACCAAGGCAAAAGAAGAGGCTGTTCTTGCAGAGGTTGCAGAGGAAGATTTCTAAACTTTATCTCTTTTGCATTTCTTGTTTGAAAAACTCTGATTAATAAAGATAACCTCTCTGCCTCTAATTTGCATGGCTATATCATATTTTGTGTTATCTACTGCTTTCTATCCTTATTTGATTATTGCGTGATTGACTGTATCTTACTCTTACTATTTTCCTATGCCAAGTGCCCACCAAGACTCTAAATGAAAGTTTTTTTTAATTTATTTTCCTTCATGGTGGAAAGCACTTCTCTGGAAATAGTTTAAGGGTTTTGGCATCATCAAAAAGGGGGAAATTGTAAGGAATAAATGTAATTAGATTTTGATGATGCTATAGGACTAGAAAGTTAGATTACCCCCATATTAGATTTTATGTATTAGACTTTTCAATTGTAAGTATTAGTATAGTCGACGATCAGAGTTGCTCTATTTTGGACCAGATCAGAAGTGCATCAGAACTGCTCGACCAGACTTGCTCTATGAGAACTGCTCCATCAGAGTTCTCTTAGCAGGAGTCCATCAGAGTTGCACCATGAGAGTTGCTGATAAACTTGGACATCTGATAACCGATGAGAACTACAAATCAAAGGTACTCATCAGCGGACATATCAGAGTCAGAGTTAGAGTTCTATCCGAGATCAGAAAGCCATCAGAACTCAACTCATCAGAAAGCAATCAGAATCAGAAGAGCCTGATCAGAGCCTGACTAACACTTAGAAGATTTCAAGCAACATCCAACAGCTATGAATCCAACGGGTAAAACAACCAACGGCTAGAAGACTGTGCGTGAAAGGAAAGCATTTAATGCACATTAAATGAGCCTGATACGCTGAAGGATTGATTGCAAATGATTGACCAAAGAATCCGGGAAGATATATTATAAAAATAGAAACCTTCCAAAACGGTGGTCAAGTCAACTGTACGCGCATTTAATGCAGTTGTCTCCTCCTCCAACGGGCAGACAACCCCAGTATATAAGCTACTCACCGAAGAACAGGGATACAACTTTGCTACAACTTTTGCTCATCAAACTTTCAAGCTCTCTTGAGATTCAAACTCCACAACACAAAAACAAGAAAAAGCTTACGTTGGGAAGATTCAATCTCACAATCTCTCATCCCCAACAAGAGCAAAGTTCATCCTGTTCTTCAACTCTTCAAAATCTTCATCAAACATCATTTGTGACGAAGCAAGTTGGAGGAAAAACTCTGTTTTTCAAAGGATCTTCTGAAAAGAAGGGCGTCCAAGTAACTGCAGTAGTGAAGTGGTGATACTTCCGGGAAGCTGAGTGAAAGGACCAGTCATCAGGAAGCAGGATTGCATCCCGGGTGACAACTAGACTTGGAGAAGGCGTGGAGAACTTCTTAAGTGCTAGGGACTAAGCTTTGTAACCGATCTACTTCAAAGCTAGTGGAACAGTGGACTAGAGGAACGAGTTGTTCCTTGAACCACTATAAAAATATCCAGTGTCGTTTATTTTACTGCAATTTATTTTCCTGCACTTAGGATATTAACTGCTTAACTCTAAGACTTGGAATCTGTGTTCAGCAGATCTTGTTTTCAGAGTTATCAGAAAGGCATTTGCCTTAGTATTTCTGAGGCTACCCGGACAGATCAGAATCCGCTGCCAAGGCCAGTTCTGATATCAGAACCAGCCTTTCTCTGTCATCAGAATCAGACCTTCTCTGATAAGTCACTTCGGACTTAGAGAAAATTTGAAAAACCGACCAGTCTATTCACCCCCCCCCCCCCCCCTCTAGACTGGTTACCATATTAAACGGGACCAACAGTTACCCTGTGAAGGGCGGTCTTTTTAACGAGACCGTCGGTGGCGACGACGTGCTTGCTCAGGCTATGCCTGAGTATGATCGTCAGTACCTCGGCCGACAAGGCCAACATGTTCGGCTGTACGACGGAGGGATAGACTACGTCGTCCAGGTAAGACATTTTCCTCTATAACTTTTCCTTTGCTTTTGTTTTTTCATCTCTAACTTCGTTTTGCTCCGTCCAGGGTGCCCTTATGCTGAGGGAGCAGCATTGGAGGCAGGAAGCCGAGATAGAGCGGCTGAAGAAGATGGAGGCCAAAGCTGCTTCAGCCGATGAGGCCCTTCAAGATCTGAGGGACAAGGCCAAGGCTGCGGAGGATGAAATGAAGCTCCTTCAGATGCGCCTTGATGAGGCCGAGGCTGCCCGGAAGAAAGCTGATGAGGCCGTTGCCGCTGCTACCCGAAGAGCTGAGGAGGCGGAGTGCCTCAAAGCTGACGCTGAGAAGGCCGCCGAGGAGGCCATAGTGAATTTCAAGGCCGAGGGGTGGAAAGCCGAAGATCAGGTCCCCTTCTGCTATGAAGTGGTGGCCGAGAGGCTCACTGATTGGGTGACAAAGGACCCTGCTGGCGAGGACTTCTGGATGAACGAGACGCGAGCCTTCTACAACTGCGGCCAGTACAGGATGCAGAGGCTGATTTATAGGAAGCTTCGTCGTCGCTTCCGGAAGATGAGGCCGAGGGGTTTGAGCCTACCCCGGCGGATGAGAAATCCTGATGAGGATATGAAGCTCCCCCCGTCGGAGAGGCAGCCTCCGATTCTCAGTTCGGACGAGGGGGAAGCGTCCTGGAGTGAAAGTGACGATTATCTGCTTGAGGGCTCAGCCGATTCCAAGGCCGATGAAGGTGATGACGCCGAAACCAGTAGCGGTGGCGGGGAGGACGTCGGCCAGAGCAAAGAGCAAGCCGATGAGGCAGCGTAGTTTTGTAGGCTTTTTTATTTTGTAATTTTAGCATCGAAGTGCATGTAACGGCCGAAGCGCCCACCTTTTGTATCTTTTCATCCATTAATGATAATCTTTTTGTCACCATGATCCCCTCGTCGTCTTTGTAGTTAAGTATGTTTGCTCTTGTAAAATTTTCTAAGTGTCAAGGCTCTGTCTCGAGGTTGTTGGTGTCCCTTGATTGAGACGTAGCGATTTTTCCGCCTTTACTGTCATTGGGGCCGATGCGTCTCCTCGTCCCTTAGTGAATTTTTATTTTCTCCTTGGCCCATCTTGTCCACGCCTCAAGTTTTGGGGCTTAGTCTTGAAGTGTCGAGGACGAAGCGGTACCCAGATATAGAATGGTAACGCATCGTCTCTCTTGTAGTGTGATTTAGATAATGTTCCAAGTGTAAACCTTGCCTTGATGGAGCTGTTTTACCTTGGCTTGTTCACTTGGGTTTTGCTACGCGGAGACGGTGCGTCCCATCGTTCAAGTAATGGACCGCGGTTTTGTATAACCGAAACCGAAGCGATTCCCTTTTGTGAGCATGCGCTTCGGATCTCTGTGTAGTGAAAACCTGATATGTACCTAACCAATTTTGAGGCTGGTTTTTGTGGGGATTCTATTTTTTGCTCAAGGCCGGCGAGTGCGCGGTCCGTCGGCTTCCCTCTCTTTTTTTTTTTTTTTTTTTTTTTTTTTTTTTTGATTGGCCGAAGGGTTACTGTTCCTTCGTCCATGTGCGGTAGTATGTCCGCTACGCTTTTCCGCGTGGATTAGTGCGAGGGAGTAAATACGCCCTCGGCTTGGTGTCAGTGGCTTCCTTTTTTGGCCTTTCCACGTCTATCGTCGACGAGGGACCGGACAAGGCATCGTCTTTTGACGGCCGCCCTTTGTGGTCCTGAGCGAAATTTTACTGACGGGTGGAGTTTTTGTAACCTCAGCCTTAATTCAGGCCTGTCGTCCTGCGGTTTCCGCGCGGACGACGCGGTATGCTTCTCCGTTTGAGGACGTTGGACCATGCACACAGGTCCTTCGTCCTGCATATCGCCGGCCGATTTGGGTGTTTCACCGCTTGTGCCGATACGATATTTAGGTGCGTTTGTCTATGCAACGGCTTTGTAGGCGCGCTGTGGATCGCAACGGCCTTAGGTGCGTTGTTTATTGCAACGGCTTTAGGTGCGTCGTTTATTGCGACGGCTTTAGGTGCGTCGTTTATTGCGACGGCTTTAGGTGCGTTGTTTATTGCAACGGCTTTAGGTGCGTCGTTTATTGCGACGGTCTTTAGGTCGCATCGGACCCGGGTTATTGCACCACTTAGGCCGATGCGGTCCTTGGGTTTCCCTTTGCTCAAATCTTAAGAGATTGGATGAAACATGAATTTTATTCAATAAGTGGCGTTAGGCCGAGGGTGTTTCATTCAACCAATCAGCCGAGGGGTGGGGGACGTTGCCCGCTTCACCGCTTCTCGAGTCATTGGTAAAATTTCACCAGGTGGTGTACATTCCACAATCGTGGTACATCTGACCCATTAGGGTTCTTTAGTTTATAAGTGCCGGCTTTGATGACGGCGCTGACGATGTAGGGCCCTTCATATTTGACGGCGAGCTTTCCTCCTTCCGTCGGCTTGCTTGCTTCCCTTCGGCGGAGGACGTAATCCCCTACCTGGAATTCGCGAGAGCGGACTTTGGCGTCGTAGTAGGATTTGACTTGTCGTCTGTAGTTCTCTGCCCGAAGGTAAGCCATCTCCCGCCTTTCATCAATGAGGTGCAAGTCAATCTTCATGGCTTCTTCATTGGCTTCGGGGTCGTATTGTGTGACCCGTCGGCTGGGGAGGGTGACTTCTGTGGGAGCCTTGGCTTCGAAGCCGTAGCACAAGGAGAATGGTGTCTCCCCGGTGGCCCTCCTTGGCGTAGTGCGGTAGGACCATAGGACGTTGGGGAGCTCGTCGACCCAACTTCCGCCTTCTTCTTCGAGTTTCTTCTTTAGCCCCTCTAAGATGGTTCTGTTGGCGTTCTCAACTTGCCCGTTGGCCTGAGGGTAGGCAACGGAGGAGAAACGGTGCTTGATACCCCATTCTTGGAGGAGGCTTTGGAATGGTTCGGCCTCAAACTGGGTGCCGTTGTCTGATATGATCTCCTGAGGCACGCCGAAGCGGGTGAGGATGTTCTTGTAGACGAACTTTCGACACCGCGCTCCGGTGATGCTTGCGAGTGGTTCGGCCTCGACCCATTTGGTGAAGTAGTCGATGGCGACGATGATGTATCTGTTGTTGCCCGCGGCTCTTGGTAGTGGTCCGACGAGGTCGATGCCCCATCTGGAGAATGGGATGGCAGTGCTGACCGGGGCGTAATTGACGGCCGGCCGACCAGGTGCCCTTTGGTAGTGTTGGCATGCGCTGCATTTGCGGGCGACCTCAGCACAATCACGCGCCATCGTCGGCCAGAAGTAGCCTTGGACGACGAGTCGGCGCGACATGCTGAAGGGCCCTTGATGTGATGAGCATACGCCGCAGTGGACTTCTTCCATGGCCACTTCGGCCTCATTCTGGTGGAGGCACCGGAGGAGGGTGCCATTGTATGATCTTTTGTAGAGCTTGTCACTCTCAATGACATAGCTAGGAGCCCTGAGCTTGGCTAGTTTGGCCCTCTCCTCGTCTTCGGGTAATGCGCCGGAGGTGATGTAGGTTGCGATGTCAGTGATCCAATCCTCCGGCTGGTGTTGTATGGAGAGTATAGGGCTAGCGTGGATGCTCGACATGCTCAATTCCTCCACCTTAGCTATCTTGGAGATGTGCTCAGGGGTGTCGGAGCTGAGTTTAGAGAGTATGTCGGCTTCGGCGTTCTCTGCCCTTGGGATCTGAGTGATCTCGTAGGTATCGAACGCCTTGAGCAATTCCGCAGCGGCCTCCTTGTATTGCTTCATCCTCCCTTCTTTGGCCTCGTAGGAACCCTCCATTTGGCTCACTACGAGTTTGGAGTCGCATTTGATTCTGACGTGGCGTGCTTTAAGACCAGCGGCTAGTCTTAGTCCGCTGAGGAGTGCTTCATACTCGGCCTCATTGTTGGATACTTTGAAGTTGAAGCGTATGGCGTAGTATGCTCTGAATCCTTCCGGGGAGATGAGGACGACGCCACCCCCACAGGCTTTGGTGGCCGAGGACCCGTCCGTGTAGAGGGTCCAGGCTTCGTCCGATTCAGCTCCTGTGGTGGTAACGGCCGTCTCCCTTGCCGTGCACTCGGTGACGAAATCAGCTAAGGCTTGCCCTTTGATGGATGGCCTCGGCTTGATCTCAATCTGGTACTGGCTCAAGAATATTGCCCACTTGATCATCCTTGGGGAGCTGGTTGGGCTCCTCATGAGGGCTCCCAACGGCTGATGCGTGAGGACGTGGACGGGGTGAGCCTGGAAGTAGTGCCCAAGTTTTTTCACCGTGTGGACGATGGCCAGCACTGTCTTCTCAATGGGGGAGTACCTAAGCTCAGCCTCCCGCAACGTCTTGCTGACGTAGAATATAGCTTTTTGTACCCCGTCATCCTCCCTGATGAGTACGGAGCTGACGGCCGACGTGCTCACTCCTAAGTAAAGGAAGAGAGTCTCGCCGGGTTGGGGCTTGGATAGGACGGGTGGGGAGGCGAGATATTGCTTCAGCTCCTCAAAGGCTTGCTGGCACTCCGTCGTCCATTTGAAGCTGGTGGCCTTCCTCATTATTTGAAAAAAGGGGAGAGACTTCTCAGCGGATTTTGAGAGAAAACGGTTCAGGGCCGCGAGGCGTCCCGTCAGCCGTTGCACCTCCTTTATGTTGCGGGGCGGCTCCATGTTGATAATGGCTTGTATCTTTTCTGGGTTCACCTCGATGCCCCTTCGGCTGACCAGGTACCCCAAGAATTTACCTCCCTGGACGCCGAAGGTGCACTTCTTCGGGTTGAGCCGGAGGTTGTACCTCTTCATGATTTCGAAGATGCCCCGGAGGTCGTCGGCGTGAGTTGTGGATTGTTTGCTCTTGACGATCATATCGTCGACGTATGCTTCCATCGTCCGACCTAAGACTGCTCTAAAAATCCGGGCTACCATCCTTGTGTAGGTGGCGCCGGAGTTCTTGAGCCCAAAGGCCATGACGAGGTAGCAAAAAATTCCCTCCGGGGTCATAAAAGCAGTCTTCTCCGCGTCATCTTCGTGCATGGATATCTGGTGGTACCCTCTAAACGCGTCGAGGAACGACATCAACTCGCACCCCGCCGTCTCATCCACCAACTGATCAATGTTGGGGAGAGGGAATGGGTCTATCGGGCACGCCTTGTTCAGGTCAGTGTAATCAACACACATTCTGAACGTGGGCGGTTTTGGTGCGAGGACGACGTTCGCCAACCACGTGGGGTACTTCACCTCTTTTATGTGCTTGATGGAGAGCAGCATGGCCACTTCGGCTTTGACGAATTCCCTCCTGTCAGCTGAGAGGTAGCGTTTTTTCTGTTTGATGGGGGAGGAGGCCGGGTTCACCGATAGCCGATGTGTGATTACCTTTGGGCTGATGCCCGGCATGTCCTCTGGTCCCCATGCGAAGACGACGGCGTACGCTCTCAGGACAGAGAGGATGTCCCTTCGAATCTGTTGGGGGAGCTGTGTCCCAATCTTCAGTGTGCGTTCCGGCCGGGAGACGTCCAACGGAACATCTTCCACGTCTCCGACCGGTTCGGCCTTTGGTGTGTCTTCTTCGGCCAAGGCGGTGGTGATGGTGTCTATCCGCTCCTCGGCTTCATTGATTTTCCTTGTGAGCTTCAGGTAACAAGCCCTGGCTATCTTCTGGTTCCCTCTGGCGTAGCCGACGCCGTCCTTGGTGGGGAACTTGAGGCATAGATGTCTCATGGAGATGATGGCCTCAAGGTCCTCCAAGGCCGGTCGTCCCCAAATCATGTTGTGGGCGCTGTCCAGGTTGACAACCACGAACTCCATGTCAATCTTCGCCTGACAGGTACCGTCACCGACCACAACGGGAAGCACTATCGTGCCCTCGGCGTCGATAGAGTCCCCGGTGAAGCCGGATAACGGAGTCCGTATCGGTCGGAGCTCGGTTTTCTTCAGCTTCAGCTGTCTGAACGTATCAACGTACATCACATTGACGGAGCTGCCAGTGTCGATGTAGTTGCGGTGAATGATGTTGTTGCCAATCTCGCATTTGATGACGAGGGCGTCCCTGTGGGGCAAGGGGCCGCAGGGTAGGTC